TGGGTTCCCGGTATAAAGAAGCCGAGCCGTTGACCAGTAAAACCGCCGAGCAAGTGAGTGAAGCGACCAAGAAAATTTACGAGGGATCACCTCTGGCCTGGCCCAAATTCGTAATGGTAGACTCGGGAACTGAATTCAAAGGCGGGTTTAAAAAGTTGATGGTTAAACACGGGGTACAAATTCAAGTGGGTGAACCTGGGGTACACAGATCTCAAGGAATCGTGGAAAGGTTTAACCGCACTTTAGCCGAGCGTTTATTTGGCCACCAATACGCTCAAGAAATGATAAACGTGGGCGAGCGAAACGTGGAATGGGTAGAACGTTTGCCCCAGGTCGTGAAATCTTTAAACGAAGAAAAAACGCGGTTAATCGATGCCGTTCCTGCAGAAGCAATAAAATTAGCGAGCGGAGTGAAACAAGCACCGAGTGCACCTGTAAGAACTACCCAAAGAGAACTTCCTCCAGACGCGGTCGTTAGGTACCTCTATTACCCGGGCGAGCAAGAGGGAGGCACCGTCAGAAGGGCGACGGATCCGATCTGGTCAGTGGACGTCTATCAAATTGAAAAGCGCCCGAGTCAATTTAAACGAGTGAAAGGCAAGAGGGTAAAAACGGGTCCAACTTTGTACTATTTATTAAACGGACCAAATAGGAGTTTCGTGAAAGAGGAACTTCAGGTAGTACCCGAAGACACCGAATAACCGAATTAGCTTATGTCCTTATGCCCGTAAGCGAACGTATCGATTCCATTTGATAATATGTAGCGCTTTGTATCTAAAGGTGACAGACTAAGTTTCTGCTGAGAGATCGTGAACACCCGATGTTTATCCGATCTAAATAATTGTTGTTTATTGAAATGAGAAACCCTGTCAAATAGGCAGCTTTTATACATCTCGTGGGTTAACCGTTTCTCGGTTACTACTTTGGAAACCCCTTTCGCCTTATTTAAAGAAAAGTACTCGCTTCGCTCGTTGCTCGCTGCCGCTCGCTTTTGATCGACCGTCAGAATCGAATACATTTTTGGTCTGATGCAAACGGCTTCTAAGATTGTTTTGCCACCAAATTCGTCTTTCATTTTACCGATGACTTTTTTATTTTTGGTGCTGTAAAGTCGATGATCGGGCGGGTAATTACTAAAGTCAAATAAATTGCGCTTTTCGTTTAGGAAGTCGACCAAGGAATGCTCACTTCGCTCGATTTGAACTAATAGAGAATCAGTGTCCGTGTAAAGTAAGCGTACCCCCTCACCAAAATTGGCTTTTAGCTCGTTGTAATAAAAATCGTACATCAACGTTTTTGAGATATCG